GCGCAGGGCGGGGCGCGGGCATCGGGGGGAGGAGCCAGCCGGAGCGCGCAGGGTGGGGCGCGTGGGAGGAGCCAGCCGAAGCGCGCGGGGCGGGGCGGGGCTTGGGCTGCGGGGGAGGAGTCTTAGGGGCCAGGCGGGACCAGAGGTAGCGGGTCTTGCTGCAACTGACTACTTCACCCTGAGGCCTCCGCCCGTCACCTGGCTGGCCTCTCTCCGTTCCTCGTCCCTCAGCCCCCGCCCATTTGTGCCTCTTCATGTCCCTTTGACCATTCGCACCCCACTCATCTACTAGGCCCTCTGTCTTCCTATTTCTCTGCCTCTTTTGCCCTGGGGCTCTCTGTGCAGCCCACCACCACCACCTTGACCTGTCCAGTCCCCTTCTTCTGACGTTGACCTTGGTGACACTAAGGACATCTGAGCCAGGGGACAGGCTGGCTGGGGACTCCTCTGGTTGTTTGTTCTCTGGAAGCCCTCTGGTTCTCCAAAGTTGGGTGAGGGGGTGTGGAGGGGTTATAAGGGAGGGAGGAGAGGTGGGGAGGTCAAGGTAGTGGAATGGGCTGCGCTCGGGGCAGGGACACTTGCTGATCTCGAACCTACCTTCTCACAGTCCCGGACAAGCAAGGGAACGGCCTGCAGGTACATCCTCCCTTTCATGGACCTTAGAAGGGCTTATTATCTATCTCCGCCTCTCTCTGCTTTCTACCTGTAGATTTCATCTTTTAATGCAGTGGAGAGCTCTTTTCCCGAACTGGTGCTGTCTCCTACCTGGCTCCATCCTTTGGATGCCTGGCTTGTTTATCTCCATATACTAACCCCAGTTCCCCATCACCTACCCCAGCCTGTCTCCGCAGGGTGAGCTCAGTCACCTGGGGTTTTGTTCAAAATCCAGACCCCAGACCCACTCCCAGACTGGTTCTCTTAGCATGCATGAGGCCCAGGAAGGTGGAGTTTGGAAAGCTTCCAGGTGACTTAATGTGCACCCATTTAATGAGTCTGTGTTTATTACTTATTTGGAGCCATCACTATGTGCTTTTATTCATCTGTACTGATCATTCATTTATTTACCAATGTCTGTCTATGGTGGTCAGTATCATTCATTGAGTCAGCATCCAGCCCTATCATCTTCAAAAGCCATATATCAATATACTTATATGTTCACTCATTCAATAACTCACACTGAGCACTGTTTATTTTTTTTTAAAGATTTTATTTATTGGGCGCCTGGGTGGCTCAGATGGTTGAGCATCTGCCTTCGGCTCGGGTTGTGGTCCCGGGGCCCTGGGATCGAGCCCCGCGTCCGGCTCCTGGCTCGGCAGGGAGCCTGCTTCTCCCTCTCCCTCTGCCTCTTCCCCTGTTCATGCACTCTCCTCTCTCTCTGTATCTCTGTGTCTCAAATGAATAAATTTTTAAAAAAACTTAAAAAAAAGATTTTATTTATTTATTCATAAGAGACAGAGAGAGAGGGAGGCAGAGGGAGAAGCAGGCTCCCCGCTGAGCAGGGAGCCCGATGCGGGACTCGATCCCAGGGGGGATCCCAGGGGGGATCATGACCTGAGCCGAAGGCAGATGCTTAGCCATCTGAGCCACCCAGGCACACTTGAGCACTGTTTAAAAAAAAAAAAAAAAGATTTACGGGCACCTGGGTGGCTCAGTCGGTTAAATGACTCTTTTGATTTCAGCTCAGGTCAACAGGAGTCTGCTTCTCTCCCTCTTTCCCTCCCTCTGCCCCTCCCCCTGCTCTCTCTCTCTCTCAAAATAAATATGAGACTGATGCGCTGCCTACTGCGCTAAGGAGGCGCCTTCTCTCAAAATAAATAAATAAAATATTTTTAATAAAAGTATTCATGGTATTTGTTAAAGATGGTAAGGAAGACTTTATTCAAGAGGGACCACTGCAATGGGGGTTTTGCAGTAAGGGAGGGAAATGGGGCTCAACTCTGAGTACAACAAGGACAAGTAGAGATTTAGAGCTAAAGGGGGGGGGGTGTCAGTGGATGGAAAATGACTAAGTGGAAACATCAAGGCTAGTGGGATTCTCCCTGAAGGCAGGCCAAGATATTAAGGGTAGAAAATGAGGAATTTGTTTAAATATGGAGGGTGATCAGATACCAAAGGTGGGAAATTCTTTTTTTTTTTTTTTTTAAGATTTTATTTATTTATTTGACAGAGAGAGAGAGCACAAGCAGGGGGAGCAGCAGGCAGAGGGAGAGGGAGAAGCAGGCTCACCAAGCAGGGAGTCTGAAGTGGGGCTTGATCCCAGGACCCCAGGATCATGACCTGAGCCGAAGGCAGACGCTTAACAACTGAGCCACGCAGGTGCCCCCCAAGGGTGGGAAATTCTTGCTAAAACTGGACTCTACAAGGACACAGATGGAAGTCCAAGGTCAACCTAGTTGAACAGAGGGCTCAGAGGAGCCTGATACAGGTTTGGTCAAAGAGAAAGTCTTTGTGAGCCAGGCACAGTTTTAGGCACCAGGGTTGGAGAGGTAAACAAAACAAGGCCCCTTCCTTCTTGGGCAAACAAATATGTAACAAATATGTCAAGTGATGAGTCCTGGGAAGAAAAACACAGCAGGATAAAGAGGAGAGAGAGTGGGGCTCCGGGTTGGCTCAGTTGGTAGCTCATGTGACACTTGCTGTAGCTGTAAGGGTTGTGAGTTTGAGCCCCATGTTGGGCATAGAGTCTACTAAAAAATTAAGATAAATAAATAGATGAATAGGAGAGAGAGACAGTAGGTAGTAGTTATTACTTATACCTGTCCCAGTCTATATGCTTCATCTATTTAACTAGTTTACAATTGGCTATTGCAGTTGTCTTACTAGCAATTAGTTGCCAAATGTCCTGAGACCATGCCAGGTCCAACATTGAGCACTTTTAAGTGAATAATCACCTAGAATGGTCATAATAGCTCTGAAACCATCCTCCTCCTCATTTTAGGGGTGAGGAAGGTGAGGTTTAAAGAAGTTAAGTGATTTTTTTTTCAAAGATTTTATTTATTTATTTGAAGAGAGAGCATGACAGAGAGCAAGAGCACAAGCGGCGGGGGTGGGGCGCGGGGAAGGTAGAGGGAGAAGAAGACTCCCCACCAAGCAGGAAGCCCGATGTAGGACTCGATTCCAGGACCCTGGGATCATGACCTGCGCTGAAGGCAGATGCTTAACTGACTGAGCCACAAGGGCGCCCAAAAAGTTAAGTGATTTGCACAAGGTCACAGGGCACAGAGTGAGAGTGTCAGACTGAGCCCAGAACCCAGGCAATCCAACTGTGGAGACCACTAGTCTTTGCTCTGGCTCCCTCTTCCTTGGCTCACTGGATACCAGGTTCTCTCTCGCCTTGGGGTCACAGCCTGTGCTGTTCCTGGAATGCTCAGTCCTCTCCCCTTTACCCAGCTAATTCTTGCTCATCCTTCAGGTTTGCAACTGGACATCCCTTTCTTTTCAAAGTCTCTCACCTCCCCCTGCAAGCCCAGGTGTCTCCTAGTCTCCCCACATTCCTGAGTTTCTCCCAACAGAGCAACTATCACACAAGGTTGTAATTAAGTATCTGCTTCCTCTGAGCTCCCTGGGGCCAACCATGTATCTTGTCCACCACTCGCACATAGATATATTAGTTGTCAAATGAATGAAGGAATGCGACCTTGCTGATAATTATATTTAAAAACAGCTCTTCGCAGGGGCACCTGGGTGGCTCAGTCAGTTAAGCGTCTGCTTTCAGCTCAGGTCATGATCCTGGAGTCCCAGGCTGGAGCCCCATGTCTGGCTACCTGCTCAGCAGGGAGTCTGCTTCTCCCTCTGCCCCTCCTTCTGCTCCTTCTCTCTCTTTTGCTCTCCCTCAAATAAATAAAATCTTAAAAAACAAAAACCAGACAAACAGCTCTTCGCAGTTGCGAAAGGACTTGCCACACTGTTTTCTCCAAACCTCACCAAAGCCTTGTGACTTGGGCAAGGTAGGAATTCCACACCCACTTACAGAGGGGTAAACCGCGTGAACTCCAGAGAGCTTAAGTGGCGGGACTTGATTCCAACTCAAGTCAGCTCTATTCCAAACCCAGTGTTTCGTTCGAGGCACCGTTGGGCGGCAGGAAGGTAATCACTTGACTTCAGCTCTCAGGGAGACAATGTCTGGTAGGGGAGATTTGCAAACAGCTCCAAAAGAAAGTGGAGAGTGCCAAGTTTGGTTTAAGATGCTGTGGGAAGGGCGCCTGGGTGGCTCAGTTGGTTGAGCGACTGCCTTCGGCTCAGGTCATGGTCCTGGAGTCCCTGGATCGAGTCCCGCATCGGGCTCCCTGCTCAGCAGGGAGTCTGCTTCTCCGTCTGACCCTCCCCCCTCTCATGTGCTCTCTCTCATTCTCTCTCTCTCAAATAAATAAATAAAATCTTTAAAAAAAAAAAAAAGATGCTGTGGGAAGTCAGAGGCAGTGGCATTTGAAAATGGGCCCTTTGGGGCGCCGGGGTGGCTCAGTCGTTTGGCGTCTGCCTTCGGCTCAGGTCATGATCCCAGGGTCCTGGAATCGAGCCCCGCATCGGGCTCCCTGCTCAGCGGAAAGCCTGCTTCTCCCTCTGCCTCTCCCTCTCTATCTGCTTGTGTTCCCTCTCTCTCTGTCAAATAAATAAATAAAATCTTTAAAAAAAAGAAAAAAGAAAAAGAAAGAAAGAAAATGGGCCCTTGAAGGGCGGGCCGAATTTGTGTGGGAATCCAAAGGAGCAGCGAAGCCAAATAGGGCTCAAACCGATCGCAGGTCCCTCCCAGAAAGACCCTTAGAGACCTCATAGCTCCGCCTCAGCCTCTTTAAGGGTGGCCCCGCCCCACTCAGCCACCGGAGTCAATCGAATCCCGACGGCCAATGGTAGGGGAGATCACTTCCGCGCCTCAACCGCACTTAGGGGGCGGAGCAGGGGCCGAGGGAGGTGCGGCCAGGCTGGTCACGTGACCAGGCCCGTTGGCCGGAATTCGGCGATGTTCATTGGGCAAAGGAGGGTTGGCCCGGCGTGAGGCCACGCCCCCCGCGGTGGCCGCGAGGTTGGTTGCGCGGGCGCCGGAGAAGGAGACGCTGCCCTTCCGCAGCGATGGGATCCTGGGTGAGTGGCGCCCCGGGTTGAGCTCGTGCGGCGGGCGACGCGGCAGGGCCCGGGACTGAGGCTTGCAGCGGGTGGGAACCGGGTCTGAGCAAGGATCTGGGTGGGAGCGCAGGTGTCCGGGCTCAGACGGACTAGAAGGGCCGGGGTTAGAATAAACAGGTACCCGGGCCGTGGGCGGCGCGAGAGGTGGAACGGAAGGTACCAGGTTAGGTCAGTGAGGAGATGCCCGGGCCTGGAACGTGGCAGGGTCGTAGGTACCCGAACGTGGGCTAGGAAGTACCCGAGATGGAGGGAGCAGGTGTGCCGGCCGTGGGTGGCGCCAGTGGGCACCTAGACGACCCTCAAGGATATTCCAGGGGTCGGGCAAGAGAAAAGGGGGCCTGAACTGGGGCTGCGCAGGGAGATGTCCAAGATGAGATGAACAGATTCTGAAGAAGGGGATATTGCTGAGGTTCAGTACGGGAGTGCCCATTACGCATTACAAGTGCTTGGTCAGACTTGTAAGGTGTGTAGGGTGCCATGAAGAGAGACTGGGCAGAGGGTGGTTCAGCGGAGTGCCTGGGCTCGGGACATTGCTGGGGTCAGGCAGGAAGGACGGGCTGCTCAGGCCAGAGTCATTAATAGGATTGCCCAGGGCAAGGGAGGAGGTTGCCGCTGTGGAAAGTGTGGGCATCCAAGCTGAGGGTGTTGTAAATGCCACAGGGGGGGCCAAATGCAGAGGTTCCTGCCCAAGGTTATAGGGTGACTTCCCCAGCTGGGAATGGCGTTGGAAGTGTGCACAGGGTGGGAAACGTTGCTACAGGCCGTCATCGTGGAGAAGAGGAGGCTTCTCCCCAGGTTGTGTCAGTGGGGAAGAATAGAGTACGGTTGAGCTGAGTCTGGATCCAACCCTGGAGTGAAGCAGGCTTGGGGGCAGTGTCATCACCTTGCACTTGCCACTCTTCCTCTCGTCTGGAGCAGCAGAGGCTGCTCTTGACTCTCCTGCAGGCAAGTAACCAGGCCTCCCAGCCCCGTCTCACTCCTGGAGCACGTGTTCGAGTTCACTGTTGTAGCTCCCTGTGGGCTCCTCACTTGGGCCCAGAAGTCCTTCAGGTGTGGCAAGGAGGGAGACGCGGTTGCTGTAGCAGGCGCCTCAGGGGAAACACCATAGCTTCAGGATCCCTTGCAGCTGAGGTCACATCCCAGCTTGGTCAGTTAGCGAAGTCAGTCAGGTTGCGTACGTCTCATGGCCTTAGTTTCCCCATCATAAGCAGTGGTTGTCTCTGAGTGACTTGACTCCCAGCCAGAGCTTGTGGGAAGCCTGGCCTATAGTGTAAGTGCTGGGGAAATAGTGGTTGCTGATCCTCTGGTGTTCTGAGGCCTGGGCCGGGTTGGGGGAATGAGAGGGCTGGCTTGTGATACGAACCCGGGCCCTGACCACTGGAGGTGGTCAATTCACAGCCTCCTGGCACGATGTCTCCTATCTTTTTTTTTTTTTTTAATATTTTATTTTATTTATTAGAGAGAACGAGAGAGAGAGAGCATGAGATGGGGGAGGGTCAGAGGGAGAAGCAGACTCCCCGCAGAGTAGGGAGCCTGACATGGGACTCGATCCTGGGACTCCAGGATCATGACCCGAGCTGAAGACAGTCGCTTAACCGACTGAGCCACCCAGGTGCCCCACGATGTCTCCTGTCTTAACAGCATGACCGTTTCCTTGGCCCTAGACTGGGTATTCCCCCACTTGCCCCTCTCATGCACGCAGCCCAGCGCTAGATCTACACTGGTAGGATCGTCCATCCTTCCCACTCACTGGGAATAAGCTGTTTCTTGTGCTGCTCCAGTGACTTTGGCTGCCGTCCCAGGTCGATAGGGTCTGTCCTGGTCTGTGTATTCCTTCCGCTTGAGGTCCCAGGAGACCTTGAAGGCATCCTTGGTCTTTGTGGTGGCAGTTGGGGAGTGCTCTGCAGGATCTTGGGGACTGGGCAATGTGTGCTCGAGCCATTTATTCACTGACCTTGGAATGGGGAAAGTTGCTCTTGTAGTTTGTGGTTCTGCTGGGGCTTGCCACTTCCTACTGCATGTCAGGTTTAGCTAAAGGGTTGTACTGAGCACAGAGTCTAAAGTCCAGTAGACCTTGGTCCAAGTCCTGATGTTACCTCATACTAGCGGTATGACTGTGGATTCCTCCTGACTTAAAACCCCTCTGAGTCTCACTTCCCTCTTTGGAAATTGGCAGAGATGGGGCGCGGGGCTAGATAGCATCTCCTTCACAGAATTGTAATGATCCCGTGAAATAACATATGGAAAGAACCCAGTGCAGAATATACACATAGAGTGTAGTAGCTTTCGCTATTTGAGGGAGCACCCTGCTGCTTTCATAATACAGTCCGCAGGAAATAAAAACATTCTTGGCTTTGTGGGAGGTGAAAAACATGTAATGATTCTCAGTCAGGGGCCTGACCCTTTTGTGGCCTGAAGTTTTTGTGTAGCCAGTGGACCACGGGTTTAAAAAGATTGTGCAAGTGTGGCAGAAAGCCCCAAGTTTGAGAGTGACCTATCCATCTCCCAGGCCTTGGGTCTGTTCTTGGGCCAACATGCCAGAGATGCAGTCTTCTGCTCCTAGGGCTCAGGGCGGGCAGAGGGTATGTGGGACATTTGGCTGCCTTCCTGCTGGTGGTTGCAGAAGGCGGGGGCCTGATTCCAGGCCTGGGGTTCCAGAGGTGGGCTTTGCTCCCACCTCATCCCCCAGGGCACTCTTACGGGCATTTCGCTGTGCTCACCTGAGCATATCCTTGTCCGACTTGGTCATCTGTCTCTCAGCTCTGTGGAAGGACCCTCTGGTATGTGTGTCCCTATCTTTCCGAGGCGTGGATGGTGCCTGGGACCCAGCCAGCAGCCAGTTGAAGACATTTTCCTTGGAAACTCTTAGACCCGAGGGTGCTGGTCCTGCCATGGCGTTCCGGAGGACCGAGGGCATGTCCATGATCCAGGCGCTGGCCATGACGGTGGCCGAGATCCCTGTGTTCCTGTACACGACCTTTGGGCAGGTAAACGTTGGGATGGGTTGTGGTCCTGCCTTTACCCCTCTGGCCTCTGAAACACTGAGCCACTCATCCCAGGGTCTCTAGCCTTTGGGAAAGCCTGTCTCTCATTATTGCCCCAGGCTTCTGGGGTCTTCTCTTTGTGCAGAGCAGGAATGACTAGGTGAGGAGTCTGGAGTCCCAAGCCCGGTCTTCATGCTAGGGCTATGTGAACTCTTGGCCTCAGTGTTTCAGTCTATCAAAGGGGTCAATAATGCCCTTCCTGCCAACCGCAGATGTTTGTGGCTGACCAGGTCTGCTGTGTGGGGTGCAGCCCCACGTGAGGGGCTCCCAGTTCTGCAGGCAGAGAGTGAGGAGCAGGGAATTGTACAGATGGGGCAGTTAGGTGGAGGGAATGTTACCAACTTCAAGGAGTCATTAAGAAATGGGGTCAGGAGACCTAGGTTCGATTTCTGACTCCCTGTCACCTTGAGCACGTGTCTTAACCTATGTGAGCCTCAGAGTCTCACCTGGAAAAGGACAGGCATTCAGCCAGGGAGTGCAGGTAAAATCCTAGCTCCGTGCCTGGCATAGTAGGGGCTCAGTCACTGCAGCTGTTAGAATCACGACCGATGGAGTGAGGGACACCTACTGGGCCCTAGATGTGATCTCTTTGGCATTGCCATTTTGCTGTCCCCGACCTCTTTACGTCCCCGTGGTCCACATTTCAGAGGTGCTGGCCCAGTGCCTCCTCGGGGGTGACTGCCTCTCATTCCTGGTCAGCAAATGGACCCCGAGTGCCTGAGGCCTCCTGTGTCCCTCAGGTGCTCCCCAGCACAGCTCTGCCCACCTCAGCTCCTCCAGGGAGATGTAGCCCAGCCGCCTCCCTCTTTTCCTGCAGTCTGCCTTCTCCCAGCTGCGGTTGACACCAGGCCTGCGGAAGGTCCTTTTTGCCACAGCCCTGGGCACGGTGGCCCTGGCCCTGGCCGCCCATCAGCTGAAGAGGCGACGGCGGAGGAAGAAGCAGGTCGGCCCTGAGATGGGAGGTGCATATCTGGGCACGGTGCCCCTCCCCATCCTCATGGCCAGGAAGGTCCCATCGGTGAAGAAAGGTAGGTGTGAGGCGCTGGGGGAGGGCCTGACCTGGAGTCAAGTCCCAGCTGGGCCCCTGGTCACTGTCGGGTCTCGGGCTAGTGATGTTCTGTCTCCAAGCTGAGTTCCCCTCCGGGAAGCGGGGATGTGGTAGACCCTTCCCTGAGTCATCACCAAGTCAAGGATTTGGTGGGTGATGCAGCCAGATGCACATGTCCTGTTGGTGGCGGCAGTTCTCAGTATCTGAGGACCCCTTGGGAACACCCGCGTCCAGAGGGAGTGGCAGGATGCAGCTCCTCTGCTCAGGGAGGGAAGCCCCCTGGCTCAGGAGCAAGAAGGGCCATGTGGTTCCTGAGCCAGATGGTATTCTCTCCATCCTCCCCACCCCTTTTTTAAAGTTAAGTTCAGCCTTTTGAGCATACAGGTCTTTTTTTTTTTTAAAGATTTTATTTATTTATTTGACAGAGAGAGACACAGCGAGAGAGGGAACACAAGCAGGGGGAGTAGGAGAGGGAGAAGCAGGCCTCCTGCTGAGCAGGGAGCCCGATGCGGGACTCGATCCCAGGACCCTGGGATCATGACCTGAGCCAAAGGCAGACACTTAATGACTGAGCCACCCAGGCGTCCCGAGCATACAGTTCTTTATGGAATTTTGTGTAGCACCTAGAGTCCTGTATTTACACCACATCGAGAACTGTCCCACTATGCTCTCAGTCCCCATGTCCTGTGTAGTCAGTGCCTCTCTCCTTCCCCTCCAGCCCCTGGTAGCCTCTGAGCCATTTTGTGTCTGCTGGTGTGGCTTTCAAAACCCTTATAGACCCTGTTCATTTTGTTACCCAGCACCCCACTGTTTGCCATGCCTGAATATCATATGGATCTCTTCCCTGGGCAGGAAGTCCTCACAGGCTCACATCTTGGGAGAAACCTGGTTTAAGAAGCAAAAATCCCCGTTGGGGCGCCTGGCTGGCTCAGTCAGTAGAGCGTGCAACTCTCGATCTCAGGGTCATGGGTTCAAGCCCCACTTTGGGCATGGAGCCTACATTAAAAAAAAAAAGAAGAAGAAGAAGGAAAAATCCCCTTAAATGAAAATGAATTTTAGTTGCGAATTATCATTGCAAAAGGGAAGTTTTCTCTTTACAGCTGGAAAAAGAAGTTTTAAGACTAGTCTAGGGGCGCCTGGGTGGCTCAGTTGGTTAAGCGACTGCCTT